GCCATGCTGGCTGTCCCAAATCACCTCCCTGTTCTCTGTATACCTTAGTATGGTTTCTAGGAGAGTCTGTTCCCTGATCTTCCAAGGCATGGAAGGGAGTCTGACAGGGTGGTGATTCCCAGGGACCTCCTTTCTACACCTTTTAAAAATAGGTGAAATACTTTCCTTTTTTCAGCCACTGGGGTCTTCACCTGAGTGCCATGACTTTTAAACATCATGAAAAATTGCTTGGCAATAATATTAGACAATTCCCTAGGGTAAAAACTTCAGCCAGTTCCCTCAGGACTTTTGAATGTACCTCAACAAGTCCCATAGGTCTCAGCTTTCTGCCTCCCTCTTTTAGCTGAGCAGAAGCATTGGGACCATTCATTTTCGAGCAGGAGGACTCTTTGGGTTACATTCTTGATTCACAAGAGTATTCACAAGAATGTAGAGTGGAGGGATTTCTGGAGGTCATCTGGACACCACCCCTGTTATAGCAAGACTAGCTTTAAAGTTACCTCCAGCTGTCTGTTAGATCAGGTCCTTGTTTAGCTGAGCTGTGGCAGTCCTCAGGGATGGAGAGATCACAGTCTCTGTGGTTAACCTGTGAAGAATGGGTCTGTGTGAATAGTCATTCCCTGCATTTAACTGGCAACTGTGGCTATTTCCTCTTTTTCCTTCCTCTGCATCTTTGAGAAATGCCTAACTTTGTCTTTCTTATAGCTACCCTTCAGGTAGTTGAACATAGCAAATAGTCCTTCTCTTTTCAAGGTCAAAGAAACCTAATTTCTTAAGCCATTCCTTGTTGATAATGGAATCCAGAATCACAGCTACACCTTTGAGCTTGACAATCTGGTAAATTTAATACTCACCAAACAGTGCAGCCCTCCAGTGCATATATTCTCATTATGACTGTGAGGATACTAAAGAAATTGTGTTGCAAGTTTTCCTAAAGCTGATGTAAATTATTTAAACCCCGTCCCACCCATGGTTGCAGACACTGCTATTTCAACATGGAAAAAAAAAATCAGTTTGATCAGGGACAATTTATCCTGATTTATTACAAATTATTTATCCAGACTGTTCCAAATTATCCTGTCCCTTGTGTGCCTGGAAATTGCTTCTACATATAAAACTCCTTTATCGAGAAGCCCTGGAAAGTACCTAAAGAAGCAAATTCTGTGCTCCAGCAAGAAGATTTCACACTCTTCACCGCAGCAGAGATAAGAAGAGTAGAAGTGTTTGGATTGGAAAGAGTCTTAAAGGACCATCAGTCCCACTTCCATGGGCAGGGTTTCCATCCTCTAAGAATTTCATATAAAGTGGAATACCAAGAATTGGACAAGCTGCATGACAGACAACTTGCAGTTTGACTTACAGTTTCTCAAGGAGTTCTGTACTCCCCAGGTCAGAAGCTACAAGAAAAAAGGTATGATTTACAACACACCCTCACCTGGTGTGTTGTAAAATCAAAAAATTGGTTTTTTGAATCCTGGTTTTGGATCTTGAATTCAATGTGCACTGGTGTTTACATTAGAGCTGTGAGTCCTCTAATATATCTGGTTATTATAGTGCCTAAATTTGTCACTTTAATCCTTAACCTTTGTGTCCCATGTTGATACTTGGGAAATCCACTGTGCTTCAATAGTACTCACAGAGTAGGCGGAACTGAAGGTGACATAAACATTTATTTTAATGATGACGGGAGAAGTTTGAGGCTGGAGTCAGGAAGATCTGACATAAGTGTGCCTCAGTAAATTTGCAGCCTTGAGTCACACCCTCAGAATTCCCACACATTGTCAGGCAGAGAATACATCTCAAAAGCAGTAAATACAGACAGAAAATATTTTAAAATAGCAAATAGGAAATTCAAAGAAAGTAGCAAGCCTTAGATGCCACATATATTTTTGTTAGGAAGGCGGGTCAATACAGGAAGATGAAGCTGAGTTATTATATTATATCTAAAAGAATGCTAAGGAAAAAATTATTGTTCTGAAAACTTACTAAAGTCCTAGATTTGGTTTTAAAGTTCCCATGTTATCTTGCTCTGGACATAGATGTTCACAATTACAGACCATTAGTTATGCAGAGCAAAAGACTGTGCATTTCAAAATCCTTTATTTCTTTTGTAAGAATATTCAGAGTATGTCAGATGATAAAATAATTAGGGAGGTATTTTCTAGCAAGTGTGAATGCCTGGACAGTAATCAGAGGAGACATGAATACGGGAGGTGTTTCTTCTTCTTTTCAGTGGCCTGGGCTTATTTGGGTTAAAGCTGAACAAAAAAGAATATGTGTTTTTATTCCTTTTCTTCCACTGCATTCTGCAAATGATAAAACTTGAGCTGTGCTGCCAAAATAATCACAGCTTAAAAAGCTGCTTTAAGGGATGAGGATTATCTCAATTATCACAGCTCTTCCAAAGGTATGAGCATAGAGGACATCAATCTGATAAGACAAAAATCCTTGTATGTTGTGTTCCCATATCTGTAAATTCTATAATACACCCAGAGGCAGCAGTTCTAGTCACACTCATGCTGTGCCTTATCCATTCAAGTAAGAGATGAGGAAAATTCTGAGTCCTGAAGCCATGGAACTGTGATAGCAAGACCCGACTGTAAATTATCTGCCTCTTCATTGGAGGTTAACAAGGGGGCATCTCTGCTGCAATTCCACCATGGCAAAACAGACACCTTGACCTTCCTGAATCCTAGAGATGCTTCTGGTGGTAGGCCAGGGTGTAGACAGCATGCAGAGCCACCCTTTTTCAGTACAGCAACCATTGAATGGTGTGCAGCATTCACCAGTTTCCTTTCCAGATCCAGGCACAGACTGTGCTGATGGGACTACCAACAAGATGGATCCCACAGAGAGCTCAGCTGTTCCTGAGCATCCTGCACATCTCTGATTGTGACTGAAACAGCTCATTGATGTGCAAGGGAAAGATGCACATGTTGCTGATACCCTGCCAGCAAAGTGCACTGTTTCTAAGCGGGGCATGTCTGCTTAATTGTTTTATGTGCACATGACTTTCACGCAGCATAAGAGCACTTGACTCTGTCTTCTCTGTTCAGATACTTACAGTGTCTTCACAACACCCTCCTGCTCCTTCTGACTTCTTCCCCGTGTAATTAATTCTTGCACCCACTTAAAATCACATTCTGACCCTTCTATAAATACCCTGAAAATCACATTTGTGGAAGAAGTCACAATGTGGTTTGTAGAGTTAGAGGACCAGTGACTACATCTGACTGCAATACTTTTACCTTCCATGGGACTCACCTCTGTCAAAGCTTGGAAGGTTTGACCATCACACCAAGACTCTGAGCAAGCTGATGTAGGCAGAAGAGTATGGCAGGCTCACTCCTCTCAACAAGAAAGTTGGATCTTGCCTGCCTGTTACATTTCTTCTGTTGCTATTCTTTTTTGATTAAATAACTATAATAATGGGAAATGACATAATTGGTTGATTTAGTTTTTGGAAACATAACACATGTGTCTTTTGAGCTGAACAGACTCACAGAGCAGCAGACAGCGGAAATGGCAGCCAGAGACAGAATGCTGTATTAGACTGGAGTCAAGACAGAGCTGTTAAAGTTAAAGGGCAAAGAAACTTCCTTTATGGACTCAAAATATGTATGCTGTTGTTATTCTGATATCACTGGCAAATCCTTTGTGATCAGGTACCTCAGTTATACAAGGCTGTCAAATTGAATATTAGACTAATTTACTAATCCTGTCTCTGTTTGGCACTGAGTCTGTCCGGCTGAATGCTCTAATCCTGTTCTCAGGTATAACTGCTCTAATGTTGCTGTGTTTTCTGAGTAACAGGATGTACCTTAGCCATTATAAAATGAGCTGATTTTGAAAACAAATAGAAGATAAAATATGCTAAAGATTGCAATTCATAAAGCTGGGAAACCTGATGAAGAGAACTGTCTTTTCAAAGATCAAGTGCAGCTATTTGCAGCAAAATTGCAGGAAATAAGTAGCTTTTACTCTCTTGTGTGGTGGTTTTGAGCAAGCATCCATGCTTGAATAAGGTTTTAAACAAGTACATTTTCTGCCTTTACAGAGGCTGCTAAACTGGTTGGTAAGCTGAGGGGCAGTGTGGGAGCAACTGTTTAAAGCACCGACTTTGTTCCCTCTGCCCTTATCAGCCAACACCTTTCTCTCTCACTTTGCAAGGAAGGGGACAGGCACAAGATGGAAAAGAGAGAGAAAATCTGTAGATCATTAAAAATATAATGAGGTGAAGCAAAGAGCACTTGAAAGTTGGGATCTGGCAGACAGGCCAAACTCTTGAAGCAGCAGAAAGCATTATTGATAGGTGATATCAATAATAAATGTGAATAGGAGGTAAGAAACAGCAAGGAGGATGAAAGTGCAGATCTGTACTTAAAGAAGAGGGACGGAACATGCTTGGGCTAATGAGACAGTGGTGCTGCACTGAGGGCAGGGGGTTACTTTCTTCAACTTCTCTTTTGACCTTGCAAATGCAGGAAGGAAGCAGGAAGATTATGGGATCTTCCTTTCTTGTTCTCCTGCTGAAGAAATCTCTCCTTTCCTCTGCTTCACTGAGGTCAAGGTATTTATTTAGTAACAGTTCTTCTAGGGAAAAAGCAGTGCTCAAATTTCCAAGAGCAGAAGGTGGAAGAGCAAAGTTAAATTGTAGAGCTGGAGATGCAGACACAACAGAAGCTCTGTAGGGAGATGCTGCAGTTCATGTTAAAGAGGGGAGTGTAGGGTGGTTCTTAGTTAGGGCCAAACCATGCACACCATCTTAACCAGAAGGCACTGCTTGGATGTTTCCTTCAAGCAGGGCAACCAAACCATTCTTTTTTTGTCCTGTCTTCCGTGTTTGTGATAAGTACATCCTAGTACATCTCAAATTAGTGTTCATGCAAAGGTAAAAGAAGATTATTATAAATACTGGCCAACTAAGATTTACAGAACTGCACTGATGAAAAACTTGCTAGTCAGATAGAATTTGATCCTGTTGCTATTGACTTTTGCAGAGCTGAGTAATCAGTGTCTGTAGTTATCTTCACATGTCATCTCAGTGCACTTCATCAAGTATCACACATCCTTTAAGGAGCATCTCTGGAATCCCTGAGTGCTCCAAAGATACAAAATGTCCCTGGAAAACTCATGTGATTTCCACTAAGGATTTCAGAACCTCCTCTCAGGATGGAAGAGTAATGAGTAAGTTGCTATTCTTGTCTTGATTTTGTATTTCTAATCAGGAATATGAAAATAAAATTATATATTGGCTGATGTCTTCTTCAGAACTCCCCAGAAAGCAGAATTAAAAACCAGAATATTGGTATTTTGGGAGAAAACATTCTAACTCTATAGTGAATCATCTCTATTTAACTAACTCATATGCTTTTTCCTGTTTGTTTCCAAGCAACACTGACCCTTCTCCTCCACTCCAGATCACAGGATGTTCTGAGGAGGAAGGGACCCACAAGGATCTTCAAGCCCAGCTCTAAAGTGAACAGCCCATATGAGGATTAAATCTACAAACCTTGGTGTTACAAGCATCTGCTCTGACCAACTGACAAAATCTCAGGATCATTCTCTTGGTAAATTCTGAAGATGTGAGTTCTAAAACAGACTGGGTGCACCCATCAATCTCAGACAATATCTGCCAATCAATGATGTGTTCTCCTCTGTATAAGTGAAAGGCACATCAAGAAAGGAGGATTTGAAAATATAATTAATTTTTCTAAGGACTGAATCAATGAGAAGTGATAGTAATATATAAAGAAATAAAAAGCTGTTTCCAGCAGCTGTTCTAAACAGATATTCTTCTCCAAAAAACCATACTAAAATCACATATTTTTAATAGGTATTTAGTTTAGGTATATTTATTGAGGTTTTTGCCTTTCATCTTTTCTTTATCCTTAGACTCAGGAGGGAAAGTTTGATATAAGACCACATTGCATGAGTTTTTTTCTGTTTACAGAGTATTTGCAACTGGATATCCTTCAGGGGAGTTTTCTAGGGTGTAATTTCCATGAAACTAGGGAGAAATGGAATTATTTCCTGTCTCAAACTAAACTGAATTTATCCGTTACAAAAATCTCGGTTGTTTCTTAGTGCTGCCTCCGGGTGCTGCAGTATTCTCTCCTACTTGTGAGGGCTCATTTTCACCCTTGAGAACTTCAGATAAGTTACCCCAGAGAAGAATTAGGTTATATAGGTTTTAAACAATGATTTAGAGCCTAGTACCTAGAATAAAGGGCAGTAAACCCCTGCAATATCATTTAGTCTGGGCAGCAGTCAGTGCAGTGTTGTGCCTTTTAGATATCGTTAAGTGCACATTATGTAGTGTCCATCCCCCAAGAGCCTCCTCCACAGTCCAAGTGCCTGCACTGCCCAGGAGCATTTCTTGACACTCACTGTACCACTTGTCTCACTTAATATCATCCCATTACTCTTAGTTACAGCCCCTTGATTCACTTTTTTTAAAACCTCACATTTTGGCTGCATAAACCTGCCATACATTTAGAGGCAGATTCATGTTGTGTTAAACAACACACAGAAAACACAGCACACACTTTGCAGTGGACAGTGTCCTGACTTCAGCTTGTGAAAAGAAGTAAAGAATAAACCTTAACAGATTCTGTTTGGCTACAGGTGGTGTAATGAACTGAGCCTTGGGTTAAGCTCCTCTGATCCCAAAACACATACTTGAAGAAATCTGATAAGTTATGTAAAAGTCCATGCAAATACTTAAACCAAGGTGATATAGGACAAGGAGGAAGTTCCAGTTTAACTGAAAGAAACCAGTTTTAGATTGGATATTATGAAGAAATTCTTTACTGTGAGGGAGGTGAGACACTGGCACAATTTGTCCAGAGAAGCTGTGGATGCCCCATCTCTGGGATTGTTCAAGGCCAGGCTGGATGGTGCTGGGAGCAACCTGGTCTAGTGGAAGGTGTCCCTGCAGGGTTGTTGGAACCTGATGATGTTAAAGATTCCTTCCAACCTAAACATTTCTATGATTCTGTAATACATATTTCACTGCAGGTCACTGTGACAAACCATCCCAAAAAATGTCAGCTGTCTCAAAGGTTGAATTCTCTCTAGCACCAAGGAAAGCAGAGCACAGAGAAAAGGTCAACAGCACCTCACCCCTCCCCATTGTCACTCCTGCATAGCCTGGATTATCACCCCAATTTCCATAATTTGTGTCATCATTCTACAAGTTGCTTTGTATTTTAATTCCAGCCTGAAACTGTCCACCCAGTTACTTTTCCTCTGAACTCTAAGTATCCCCTGCCCCACAGGACTTAAGGGACAATATGAACATCTTGCCTGGTCTGCCTTTGGGACATGCTTCTTTATAAAGCCCCAGCTGCAGGTTTGATGAGCACCCAGTGGTGCTTTCCCATATAATAAATGTATGTGTATAGGCATGAGTTAAGACATTCTTTAATCTTAATTTGATATAATGATTAGTAAAGAAAGCAAGTTAAGCACCCATGTTTTATATCTTACAGTAGTGAATAAAGTACTCAGACCTGTATTCTACTCTTGTTATCAACATGGAGAAAATAAACTGTTTTTTCTGACACTGAGTCATTTTTTTCCCCCTAGCTGAGCTTTTTTTGTGACTGTTATCTATATCTCCAAGTGTAAGCATGTGTTATTGTGGACAGCCAGAACCAAATGTTTCAGTATTGCCTCAGTGTGCTTGCCATCCCTCTCTGACTTCAGCCTATGTATAGATTACAGCATTTGCTGCCATAACACAATTTTAAAAGTAACTTTTTCCTTGATGAAGGTCAAAAGGACAAAAGGTCATTCTGCAGCAATTACTTTTCCTATCATTTAAAAAGAAATATTCAGGTCATGCTTAACTTAAAAATTGCCCCATCCCACCCCCTCAATATTTAATTTTTTTACTTCCTGCCAATTGTACTTTGCCAAGGAGTTGCCAACATATTTTTAAGAACTGTGTGTTGTGCTGTTCATCTGACCTGTAGGCAAAAAAGTTCTCATCAGATAAAATATCCTGCTTTTCTGTAAGAAAACATTTTCCTTAATGGGAAAAAAACAGGTGATGCTGGAGTGAGCAAGTATTTTCAATAACATATTGGATTTTTTTGTTCAATCAAGAATGTATCATTTTGGAAATTGAAAGTTATATCTGTCAGCCTCCTGGCTAGGAAATGTCATATTAATCCTGACTTCACATGGACACTCTGACAGTGACTCCACCCTTGATAAACCATTTAGTGTCTGTTCAGTCTAGTGAAGAATCTTCAGACTATCATTCCACTGTGATGTGGCTTTAGCTAATAAATCAGTCAGAGAATCTTTTTCCTCTCTTCCCTCCCTTCACCACATTAATATTGATTATTTGGAGGTAAGGAGTCCCAAGGAGTGGAAGTGGATATGCCTCATTGCCTCGAACAATTCTTTTCCCTCTATTGGGACAGTACAATGTAAATTAATAGTGTGCTTGCAGACACTAGATAATGTTAATGCACTCGCTATTGATAGAGTGAAATAACAGGAGTAACTTCAGCTTTGCTTAAAACAAAACATTAATTTTCCAAGGCCACTAGGATTTATGCAGCTGGTCGGTGTAACACATACAGTCTTTGCTTTTAAATATGCAACATTTGCATTTTTAAACACGAGGCAGGATTTTATTGCCAGATGAAAGACAAAAGGGGATTTAAATTCACTGCTTATGCTCTAAAGCTCTTGTCTGCCTTTAATCTAAGTCTCTGCTCGATTTTGTGGGTAAGAAGATGCCTTTTCTACAAGGAAATAATACAGAGCAGTCTTATCCCCCTGTGATCCTCTGGCTACGTAAAAATGCATAGGAAATCTGTAAGTGCAAAAGCTGTACTTCTGTATATGTTTCAAAAAAAGTAAAGTCAACTTTCTCATTTCACTGAGCTTGAGTTTAATATTACTCTTAGCATCTGGTACAGTGCTGTGTTTTGGATTTAATATTAGAATAACCTTGATAACAAACTGATGTTTTGGTTGTTGCTCAGTAGTTCTTTCTCTAAATCAAGGACTTTGCAGTGTCTCATGCGCTGCTGGGGAGCAGGTGCACAAGAATTCCCGAGAGAGCAAGGCCAGGAGAGGTGACCTGAACAGGACAAAGGAATATTCCACAGCACAGGATGGCATGCCCAGTATATAAGCTGGTCATGAGAGGACAATTGCTGCTGGTGTACAGGCTGGGCAGTGGTTAGTGAGTGGCGAACAATGTTTACTGTGCATCACTTTTTTGTCTTGGATTTTATTCCATTCTCTTTCTTCTTCTTCTTCTTCTTCTTCCTCCCCTTCGTCTTCTTCCTCCCCTTCTTCTTTTTCTTTTTCCCCTTTTTTTCCCCTTCTTCTTCTTCCCCTTCTTCCCCTTCTCCCCCTTCTCCCCCTTCTCCCCCTTCTCCTTCTCTTTCTCCTTCTCCTTCTCCTTCTCCTTCTCCTTCTCCTTCTCCTTCTCCTTCTCCTTCTCCTTCTCCTTCTCCTTCTCCTTCATCTTCTTCTCCTTCTCCTTCTCCTTCTCCTTCTCCTTCTCCTTCTCCTTCTCCTTCTCCTTCTCCTTCTCCTTCTCCTTCTCCTTCTCCTTCTCCTTCTCCTTCTCCTTCTCCTTCTCCTTCTCCTTCTCCTTCTCCTTCTCCTTCTCCTTCTCCTTCTCCTCCTCCTCCTTCTTCTTCTTCTTCTTCTTCTTCTTCTTCTTCTTCTTCTTCTTCTTCTTCTTCTTCTCCTCCTTTTCTTTCTCCTTCATCTTCTTCTCATTCCTTTATTTTGATTATTAACTTGTTCTTATCTCAACCCATGAGGTTTTTTTTTCTTTTCTTTTCCAGTTTTCTTCCCAGTCTCACTGTAGGTGGAAGGGAGTGAGGAAGCTGCTTAACAGTATTCAGTTGCCATCTGGTGTCAAACCTGACAAACGTGCTAAAACCAAAGGCATTGAGGAAAGCTCCACTTTCACATCCATCCATTTGGCTGCTCTGGGAAATGATGGCAGACATGTTGGACGAATTAGTGGGTATTTTACAACAGCATGAACCTCTGCTAGCTGGAACCACAGACAGGGTTTGAGACACAAGGCTTTCTTGATCCTGAGACAGATTTGAAGTTCCTGCAGTCCACAGCATGGATTTCTCCCACAGCCATCCTGCCTTTGGTGCACGAGGAGCATCTCCCATGCTGCGATGGGAAACACAGTGGAATGTAGGTGAATCTAATGTCAGCTTGGAGATGGCTGCAGATCTGCAATTCAGCCTAACAAGGGTCACAGCAGCCTGATAGGAGGCAGGGAAAGCATTCCCATGTAGGGTTGGCCCCAGGTTGCCATTTCCCTTCTGGTCCCACCAATTTGCTGCACAACTCTGTGTGACTCACCTGAAATTAGAGTTTACCTATCTCTAACACCAGCATAAACTATGGGTAGAAATTGAATTCTAGCAATTTTGGCTCTGCTTTTCTCCTTGCTCTCTGAACCTAATTTCTACAAATGTGTTTCTAGTTCATAAATACTCATGGAATAGCTCATGTAAACAAATTTTGTCTGCACATTATTCATGCTCTGTTTGCTTTGATTGTGCAAGTTCCTCTATATGTGAATGGTCATAGAAGTCACATACTGTTACTTCTGGCACCTGACTGGATGACTGTTTTTTAGATAGGATAATGAACAGCTAGTAATAAATGACAAACTATATAGAGTGAATATTTGGAGGAATAATTATGTGTGCTGGAAATCACAAAACTTTCAGGATTTGCCAGTATTCTCCCTTCCAAACGAACTGGTATTCAGTTGAAAGCTCATGAATGATAGATAATCTCATCTCACAAATAATGACAGTTCAAACCTCAATTAAACAAGCTTCACAAAACCCCTGGGAGATAGACAGCTACAACTAAATATTTAGTTACATTACTAAAACTGATACATGCATATTTTCACTAAGAAGTTTGGCATTTGAGGAGCATTTAAATGCCATTCAAAGAAAAGCACTATTGCAAATGAGTGAAAAATACCATTACTGTATTTGTCAGATTCCAGCATGCAAGAAAATTAGATGAAGCATATTCAAGGTACCAGCTCTGGTGGACTGATTGAGGAAAACAGAATCATTTACTTGTGACAGGTCTGCCCAGAGCCTCTTCTAGCCTCAATGAATTCTAGAGTTACTTGACAGTCTGCCAACCCGCAGAGCAAATGCCAAAAATTCCTTCTCACCATGTGCGAATTAAATAATGACTAAATATAGACTCAAAGCAGAGGTAACTTGCACACATCCAGCTTGTCAGGAGAGAGAAAGACCTGGTTCCTGTTTCAGTAGTTACAAATTTATAAGTAGACCTTACAGAATTCATTATTTTCTATTTTTGCTAAGGTACTACCAGTCTTCAGGATCATGGAAATGGTGAAGGCATCTTGATAGCTCTCTGATGGGTGAGTTCATCCCTGTATAGTGCTGGTAGTGCAAGTCCTAACCACAGTCACATTTTTCTGATTCCACATGTGCCTCAGATGCCCACAGGAGGAACCCCATAGTACAAGTGGGGGATGCAGATCATGGTTTATGTGAAAGGACTTGTGTTCAAAGGATAAGGTTTATAGGAGCTTAGCTTTTAGGAGCTCACTTTTCATCATATTTCACTACTGTAGAGTTTGAAGTGATGAAGGATGCATGACAGAGTAAATTAAAGCTTCCTGCAAGCCTTCCAGTAGTTCTTACATTGGAGCACCTTGAATACCAACCTGCTATACCCTTCCTGTATACTTTATGCATGGAAGGTAGTGGGGAATCTCATTACCCAAGAGTTGCTCAGAGGGAAAATATCCTATAAGGTACCACATTGCTCCAAGATGGCTTTGGACATCGAGTGCACAAATGCAGGTATGAACTGCACTTTTGTTAGGGTGCTCAGCAAGGAGAGGAGAACACAAACACAAGTAGGCAGAAGGTAGTGAAAAATATTGAACTAAATCAGTGTTTATGCTGATAGGAATGGGATCTGGATCAGGCATGCTTTCTCTACAGCTTTCCACCTTTTTCATCCTACTAAACAAAGATCTGTTCTCTAGGCTGTCACATCAACAACCTCCCCCATAAAACCAAAGGAACAGTCTTTGCAGCCTCATATTTGTCAAAAAAAAAAAAAAAAAAAAAAAAAAGGATATAACCTTTGAATTAGTAAAATTACTTGTTAAACAAGATCAAGAAAATCCTGCTGGCCTCCCAGAGCTAACAACAGTTCACTTTTGGATGCACTGCCAACTCTCATGAACTGGCTCTCCCTTTTCCCTCTTTCCCCAGTAGGTAAGCACACTTAACAGCCTTCAAAGCAGCCAGACTTCTCCTTTCTTTCCTTTTGTAGGTAATGCTCCCCACTCTCAAAGTAGGAAAAAAGCTGGGGTAAGTTTCTATTAAGCCAACACAGCCCTTCTTTAAACCTCAAGACATTGGTTCTCTTACCCTCTTGAACCTTTCATACTCTGAAGAGCTTGTGTTTTTCACTTTTCTTTTACAGCTGGAGTTTCTGAAAACTTAAGTCTTTTTTTCTGCCTCATGCCTGGAGACATTTTTCTTCTCAGAATGTTTAAATTCCCTTGTACTGCAAGGTAAAGGAGCCAATGCATGTTTGCAACTTAATCAGGATATTGTCAGGTTTCTTCCCCAGTCCAACATGAACTAGGAGAAAAAGGCTTAGAAATGACAGAAAAGTCTGTGACATGTTCCATGGCAAGAAAGTACCTTATGCTTCCAGGGCCACACTGGGAGTTAGACCCTGCAGAGGTCTAGTCCTTTTTTTGGCATTGATTTCTGGTCTGACCTTTGCCCAGTTGTTAAATCACTGATTTTCAAAGGTGCTGAACGACTGCCAGTAGGTCTTTTTGTGACTGAGGTCAGTAAGAGCTTGGCAGCTGGAAGCCAGAATTTCATCTACTCACTTCAGTTGCAGCTGTGGGTGTTTCATAAAAATCATATATCTGGAGAAGGCAGACTAGAGTAGGGGAAAGGTTAAGTCAAAAACAAGTTGGAAGCCGTTTTAGCTGTGCTTAGTTACTTCAAGATATGATTCTGGTCCAAATATTGTCAGACAGATTAGTGACTAATCTGATAAAGAAATTAATTATTTGTCAGTAAAAGCTGTTCTGTGGAGAGAATGATTGATTAAAAATGCAATACAGGACATTAGCACCTGACATAGCTCTTGCTAACAGAGATCAGAATTATCAGATGATGTCACACCACAAAATAAGGCCATACAAACAGTGCTAGTGTGTCTTTGGTACCATGATAGCACAGTTTTGATACTTACACACTGTGGGTACAGTATCATATATTAGGGAATGGAATTAATTTTGAAGTTTGAAATCCAAAACAATGTGAAGTACCCGGAGTATTCTGTGGAAAGCATCACTGAAATCTAATTTAAAATACCAATTTAGTCGAAAGTTCAATTTCACATTTTTCTTCAGTCAAATACCGTTCATCTACGTCTACTTCCCGTTGCATGTATGGAGCTGTGAAATTACCCTCAAGGAAAAACAATATAAACCACAGCAGGTTCAAATCCTGTAACTTAGCATCTTGTATTTAGTGCCAGAAGAATGCTTAATCCAGCCATACAAATATGTGTCTATAATTTATTTTTTTTTACATTAAAACGACTGCATATCCTGAGACAAAAGGATAAAAGAAACTGCATTTCTGGATGAAGGCTGAATGGAACTGAGCTGCAAGCAAGGAGAGGGGACCTAATGATTAACTTACATACACCCAACAGTGCTAATGAATGGATATTACAAAAGGACTGCCCAACACAGCAGCTGGGCTGTTTGCAATAAACTTGCTGAAGAATGCACTTCCTTCCTCACTGAAGGTTAGGAGCATTGGAGTGTCGTGAATCAAATCTCCACTGGCATATATTGTCATATGTCCAGTGACTTCAGTGTTGCTAAAATATTATGCTAGTAAAGAATTAGACCCTACCTGCTTGCCTAATGTTTCATTTTGGAGAAATCAGGCAGAGCCTTCACAAACTGCAGAAATGAGAACACTTCCAGCATCCACACTTACATGCATCTTCTTTGCCTCTCCCCAGTTATAAATAGAACTGGTTTTGAAGAGTTCAAACAGTATGAACATTTTTCATTCACATTGCTTGTCAGTAAAAAAATAGCCTTTCATTTCCCACTTCCTCCCCCAAATATTCTAGCCCTGTTGATGTTTTGATTTGTTTGGGCTTTATTTCATCATGCTCTCTAAAACAAAAATAAAAGCAACCTGTCTTCGACATGGGCTTTTGTTTCATTTCTACAAAGTGAAAAGTTTTTAGTTTTTCACAAACATTTAGTTTTCCATATCATCACAAAATAATGCATTTTCCTATGCTTCCCTAATCAGACAGTTCATAAACATAATTCCAAAAGGGGTTGGATGTTTAGATAGCTAACTCGGCCTATGTTAATTTAATCATTAGTAATTGATGATTTAAACTGGCAATTTCTAGTAGGGATGTTAATTCATATCAGATATCAGGAGAAAAACCAACCATGTGATGTGATTCTGAGTGAGGTGAAGTTGTCTTCCTTGGTGCCTGGAGGCCTGGAAGTTCCAGATATAAAGCAGCAAGGGAGAGGAATGATGGATCTGACCCTGAATAACATTTCAGATCAATTCTTTGCAAGATTTTTTTTTTAAAAAAGCTAAGCTTCCTTATCTTCTGACCAGCTCTACTTGTAAATACCAGTTATGTTCAGAGAAAAATCTGTTCTATAGACTGTTTTCTTCTAAAAACAGCAATTCCGACTTCTTTTTCAAAGCTTACATTTCCTGTTTTGGTATCTATTTTTCATCTTCCTCTTTGAGCCATTCTTCACAATTTCATTGCCAGAAGAATCACATAATTTCCTTGCTGTTTCTCTAAGTCAGTGCTTCTCCTGATATGTCTTTATAATTATTCTTTGACCCCTACAATATGGAAAATTTAGCAGGGAGTCACCTGGGAGAGTCTCTCCAGGGGAAACACAACTCCTGTGTCGTGGGACAACAATCTAAGTGAAATTGCACTGAGTGGAAGATGAGTGTGTGCACACAGCACTTGAAGATGCTGGAGGCAGAGGCGTTCTCCATTACCCCCTCCTTCCTCATCACCCCCCAGACAAACACATCCCCTCTCAAATGCCCGGCTTTGCAAGGTTCGGAGTACCAGGAAAATCTCCTTGCTTGTGGAGGTTTTGTAGATTTTTTAGACTCAGCTTAGATTTTTCTCAGGCTTTTCCTTTCTCTTATCAAGTGGATATTTGGGATGAGTTTTTCTTCAATGCACCCAGATCAGATTTCACATTTTCCTCCATATAATTAATTGTTTCTCTTCCCATGTCTCTGTTCCATCAAGTTTCTTGTATTATTGGCCTGTCCACTCTGGCATTCATAATTCCTACCCTTTTAACCCTTCCTGGAGATTTTATTGCAGTGTTTTTATTCCCAGTTTCTGACCATACAGACTGGGGAGCAATTCCACTTGCTCCACAACTGTAAAGGGGTTTACCTAAACTCAAACACTTGGTCTTTGTGCTTTACAAATCTTAGCAATAATTCCAATGCACATGTGTCCAGCAACCTCAGACAAAGCCTCTGCTTGAGTCATTCAGAAAATTGCACCATTTTTGGGAAATTCAGCATTCACAGCTGACTCTTCAGTCCCATGGAGAGAAAAGGGTTGGGAATAAATAGGCGTAGGAAGAGAGACTGGCAGGAGGCATTTGTGGGGTTTTTCACACTTGAAGGGGTTATGGGGCATGAATGCAAAGAGGAACTCAGTTTCTAAAAGGAATATGGAAGTAGAGCTCCTTCATGTACCTCCTCCTGGAGAGGAGCAGTTCCAGTCCAGTGTGAAAGGAGGAGGCTGGAGGCAGCAAAGCCTTGGAGCCACAGAAGATGGAGAGAGAGGGGAGACCCCCACTGGGAACAGCTGTCCCTGAAGGACTGTAACCAAGGACACAGGGCAGCCCACTCTGCTGTGAGGGACCAACCACCCCATCCCTGCACCCTCAGGAGAGAGGAACTGGGAAAGAAGTGGGAATGGGGGTGGGAGGGAGATGTTTAGTCTTTGTCTTTGTTTCTGATTACCTGGATCTATTATAACTGATAATAGATTGAGCTACCTTTTCCAAGTCAAATCTGTTTTACCCATGGTGGCAATTGGAAAGTGTCTTTGTCTTTGTCCTAAACTGAGAGATTTTCCATCTCATTACTTCCATCTGAGAAGGGGGAGGGAGACAGCAGCTGAATGGGAGCTTGGCCCTTGGCCAGTGCTTACCCACCAGTGTCATCTCATACAAGAAAAAAGGTTCACTTTTCTCCAAAAGCCTCAAATTCTCAAACTATGCAGCAAGCATCACCTCAGGCTATGAAAACAGGGGAAAGAAGAATTGAGGGAGCAGGGATTCAGTTTTGGGATGACAAAAGGGAGGATCAAATGAGTCCAAGGTCATGGCTTGCCTGGTCCACATAGGTGAGCTCAGCTCCTCTTCCAAACCCTCTATCAGGCAAACCATGCTAGTCCATTCCAAGTAATTCTGCTTTAAGCCAATGTCTATTGCTATTGTCAATAAAACATGGGAGGAAAAATATTGAATTATTGCTAAAATTGAGATGAGTTGGTTTGGCATAGAATCTAGAAATGTTCCTAAAAAAGAAACAGTTCAGAAAATAGCACATCTTTCTTAATTCTGTTTATTCCACATCTGAAAGGAAAGTGTTTGCACTTTTCCTGCACAATATATGTGGGAATGTATATCAAGTCATATCATAGAGACTATTATTTTGCTACTCAGAGACATTTCAAATGCATCAGATGACATCAGAAATCATAAATACCAGTTTCAGCCACCAGGAGACTCCTCTTCATGGGGTGAAGGTGCAGATGTTTTCCCATGTCACTCAGTGGCATGCTTGGAAAGAGATTTTCGTGTTGGTACCCAGCAGTCTCAAGTATTTACACATCTGTACAAGCAGGTGTGGGGTTAAGTCCCAGAATACATATTATGCAAGGCAAGTGATAGACCAAGACATATTTGTTTCCTAACTCCATAATTAGGCTCCCAAATGAGTGACTGCTGATTGCTTTGCACTTTTTAAAGCCTTAAGGCTGCAACTTCTGCAAAATTAATGAAAGTGGTTTCAGGGAAACTTTACAGCTTGCACAGAATCTAAAAGACTGTAGTCCTCATGAATTTTGTTCCTTCTAACCAAAAGTAAAGATCTGGATCCACAGAAAGATAAATGAAAAATAATTCAGAGAAGCTACAGCATCTTTAAATTTGAAGGATATGGGGATCAAAGAGATAGTGGCTGACAAAATGCAAACTCACATTTTAATGTCTAGATAGCCAGAATATGACTTTAGTTAATGATTTTCTCCTTTTGATTTATTTAGTCATACGTTTTTCATGGATATTGATCTCGAAAAGTTTAAATGGGTTTCTTTCTATCTCAGGACAGATAGAACAAGGTAGGAGACCTAAGCTGTCTCAGTTCTGGTTTTCACTCTTCTGCCATGTCAAAAAAAAAACCAAAACAGATCATGTTTTTGTTTTTCATTAATTTATTTATTGTTTACCAACTCCTGAAGTTAAGACCAATATTAACACAGGAGCTGCCAGACTGAATCCATCCATCCATCTCTCTTATTCAGTTCTGTCTCCAGGGAAGCTCAATGCTGGAATATGAAGGTACAAAAAGACGTACGAGCAGGCAGGTAAGGAATAAATTGGTTTCTTTTAAAATATATGTTATAATAAGAAAGATAGTAGTGATATCTAGCCAGGGGTTCATCTATTCAGTAGAATTATGCTCTGCCTTATTTTTGTCACCAGTATTCCTAGAAATTTAGAGAAGGAATGCAAACAAGAATGCCCAGTGCAAGTGCCTCTGACCTTTGGAAATAATTGGATGTGGATCCAAACGTGGCAGCCCTATCATGTACTAAAGTCTCTTAAAATCATCCTATCCATCAGCCAGACAGGGAAAGAGAAACATGGAAGAAAAGGTCACATTAGCAGGAAGCAGCTGGCATGATTCCACAAGGTTCATATTATTTAGTGGGACCAGTTTCTGCTCTTCAAATTCCAAATTCATGCCAAAATCTGGTGGCACAAACATGCACAGAATTTCACCCTTTGATATGTACTGCATCAGGGTGACATTTCAGAAATGATATGCAGGGACTTACACTCACGTGACTGTAAATAATAGCGGTCCAACTCCCCAGAGATGGCACTAAACTCCTACTACATCCTCTGCAAACACTGCCACGAGGCACTGCAGATTGGCTCTGCAGTGTACACACACATAAACCACCTTGCTTTAGTTGAAAGGCTGAAACATTTATTAGAGGAAAGGATTATAATGATGTAGTTTAAACACTGTTAACTAAACATGAATTGATGAGGGGAAAAAAAAAGCTTAGTAAGAGATTAGTTCTTCCTTCAGCACGCGGACAACAGTGCTTCTACCATTAAAACAAAATCATTTGTGTTTCCAAGTTGTTTTTTTTCCTTGGGCTCTTAAGGAAAAGGGATTTCCCAAACCACTATAGATCACTCTTATAACCCAAAACATTCCTTCTATTTTTGAGACAGCACATGAGGTATTGAATAATGAGCCACAAATCTTCTGGCAGAAATCCATGGACAGTAGTATGGAGATAGCTCAGCTGACTTTATGCCTGTATTACTGCTGGGGCGCAGACACTTGGAGGCCTTGTGGGAAGCCAGAATATCAATTTCAGGAGGAATCTTGCATACACAGAGCTAAGCCCTTCTTCAGCCAATCTGCATTCTGAACTGACAAGGAGTCAGAGGAGAAAGGGAAAAGTAGATCAGAAAAAGCATAAAGAGACAGCAAATCTTCAGGGGGCTTGCTGGTAAATCACACTGGCTGCATTACCCCCCATCACCAAGGTCATTTATTATGCCTTTTTCCAGCAATCCAGTGACAAGAAAATGCTGAGTGCAGGGAGTGTTTTATCTGTATGGGGATTAGTTCTCTCCTCACCACAGCTAGTGAGGAATGGTGAAAAACATCCCAGATCTAAGTAGATCATATCAACAAATATGATCTGAAGTTTGAGGTGTTCATCTGAACATCTCTGGATTCCCAGATGAGCTGCAGCCAAACTCACTCAATTGTCTCAGAGTATCCTTCACAAAACTCTTTGATTTCGTCTTCCTGATCTGGTATTTTATGGATAGAACCATAGAATAGTTTAGGTTGGAAAAGACCTCT